CTGAGGCTAGGACTTCTAGTACTTTGTTGAATAGCAGTGGTGATAACGGATATCCCTGCCGTGTTCCTGACCTTAGAGGAAAAGTTTTCAGTTTTTCTCCATTGAGAATGATATTTATGATGGGTTTTTCATAGATGGCTTTGATAATATTGAGGTATGTGCCCTCTATCCCTACACTTTGAAGAGTTTTGATCAGGAAGGGATGCTGTACTTTGTCAAATGCTTTTTCAGCATCTATAGAGAGTATCATATGGTTCTTGTTCTTTCTTTTATTAATGTGTTTTATCACATTGATTGATTTGCAGATGTTGAACCAACCTTGCAGCCCTGGAATAAATCCCACTTGGTCGTGGTGAATAATCCTTTTAATGTATGGTTGAATCCTATTGGCTAGTATTTTGGTGAGAATTTTTGCATCTGTGTTCATCAAGGATATTGGTCTGTAGTTCTCTTTTTTGATGGGATCCTTGTCTGGTTTTGGGATCAAGGTGATGCTGGCCTCATAAAATGAGTTTGGAAGTTTTCCTTCCATTTCTATTATCTGGAACAGTTTCAGGAGAATAGGAATTAGTTCTTCTTTAAATGTTTGGTAGAATTCCCCTGGGAAGCCATCTGGCCCTGGGCTTTTGTTTGTTTGGGGATTTTTGATGACTGTTTCAATCTCCTTACTGGTTATGGGTCTGTTCAGGGTTTCTATTTCTTCCTGATTGACTTGTGGTAGTTTATATGTCTCTAGGAATGCATCCATTTCTTCCAGATTGTCAAATTTGTTGGCATAGAGTTGCTCATAATATGTTCTTATGATTGTCTGTATTTCTTTGGTGTTAGTTGTGATCTCTCCTCTTTCATTCATGATTTTATTTATTTGGGTCCTTTCTCTTTCTTTTTGATAAGTCTGGCCAGGGGTTTCTCAATCTTATTAATTCTTTCAAAGAACCAGCTCCTAGTTTCGTTGATTCGTTCTATTGTTTTTTTTTTGTTTTGTTTTTTGGTTTCTATTTCATTGATTTCTGCTCTGATCTTTATGATTTCTCTTCTCCTGCTGGGTTTAGGGTTTCTTTCTTGTTCTTTCTCCAGCTCCTTTAGGTGTAGGGTTAGGTTGTGTACCTGAGACCTTTCTTGTTTCTTGAGAAAGGCTTGTACTGCTATATATTTTCCTCTCAGGACTGCCTTTGTTGTGTCCCACAGATTTTGAACCATTGTATTTTCATTATCATTTGTTTCCATGAATTTTTTTAAATTCTTCTTTAATTTCCTGGTTGACCCATTCATTCTTTAGAACGATGCTGTTTAGTCTCCATGTATTTGGGTTCTTTCCAAATTTCCTCTTGTGATTGAGTTCTAGCTTCAGAGCATTGTGGTCTGAAAATATGCAGGGAATGATCCCAATCTTTTGATACCGGTTGAGACCTGATTTAGGACCGAGGATGTGATCTATTCTGGAGAATGTTCCATGAGCACTAGAGAAGAATGTGTATTCTGTTGCTTTGGGATGAAATTTTCTGAATATATCTGTGATATCCATCTGGTCCAGTGTGTCATTAAAGGCCTTTATTTCCTTGTTGATCTTTTGCTTGGATGATCTGTCCATTTCAGTGAGGGGAGTGTTAAAGTCCCCTACTATTATTGTATTATTGTTGATGTGTTTCTTTGATTTTGTTATTAATTGGTTTATATAGTTGGCTGCTCCCACGTTAGGGGAATAGATATTTAAAATTGTTAGATCTTCTTGTTGGACAGATCCTTTGAGTATGATATAGTGTCCTTCCTCATCTCTTATTATAGTCTTTGGCTTAAAATCTAATTGATCTGATATAAGGATTGCTACTCCTGCTTTCTTCTGATGTCCATTAGCATGGTAAATTCTTTTCCACCCCCTCACTTTAAATCTGAAGGTGTCTTCGGGTTTAAAATGAGTTTCTTGTAGGCAACATATAGATGGGTTTTGTTTTTTTTATCCATTCTGATACCCTGTGTCTTTTGATTGGGGCATTTAGCCCATTAACATTCAGGGTAACTATTGAGAGATATGAATTTAGTGCCATTGTATTGCCTGCAAGGTGACTATTATTGTATATTGTTTCTGTTCCTTTCTGATCTACTACTTTTAGGCTCTCTCTTTGCTTAGAGGACCCCTTTCAATATTTCCTGTAGAGCTGGCTTGGTGTTTGCAATTCTTTCAGTTTTTGTTTGTCCTGGAAGCTTTTAATCTCTCCTTCTATTTTCAATGATATTCTAGCTGGATATAGTATTCTTGGCTGCATGTTTTTCTCGTTTAGTACTCTGAATATATCATGCCAGCTCTTTCTGGCCTGCCAGGTCTCTGTGGATAAGTCTGCTGCCAATCTAATATTTTTACCATTGTATGTTACAGACTTCTTCTCCCGGGCTGCTTTCAGGATTTTCTCTTTGTCTCTAGGACTTGTAAATTTTACTATTAGGTGACGGGGTGTGGACCTATTCTTGTTGATTTTGAGGGGGGTTCTCTGACCCTCCTGGAGTTTGATGCTTGTTCTCTTTGCCATATTGGGGAAATTCTCTCCAATAATTCTCTCCAGTATACCTTCTGCTCCCCTCTCTCTTTCTTCTTCTTCTGGAATCCCAATTATTCTAATGTTGTTTCATCTTATGGTGTCACTTATCTCTCGAATTCTGCCCTTGTGTTCCATTAGCTGTTTGTCCCTCTTTTGCTCAGCTTCTTTATTCTCTGTCATTTGGTCTTCTATATCGCTAATTCTTTCTTCTGCCTCATTTATCCTAGCAGTGAGAGCCTCCATTTTTGATTGCACCTCATTAATAGCTTTTTTTATTTCAACTTGATTAGATTTTAGTTCTTTTGTTTCTCCAGAAAGGGCTTTTATATCTCCCGAGAGGCTTTCTCTAATATCTTCCATGCCTTTTTCGAGCCCAGCTAGAACCTTGAGAATCGTCATTCTGAACTCTAGATCTGACTAATTACCAATGTCTGTATTGATTAGGTCCCTAGCCTTTGGTACTGCCTCTTGTTCTTTTTTTTGTGGTGAATTTTTCCGCCTTGTCATTTTGTCCAGATAAGAGTATATGAAGGAACAAGTAAAATACTAAAAAGGTGGCAACAACCCCAGGAAAATATGCTTTAGCCAAATCAGAGGAGATCCCAAATCGTGAGGGGGGGGGAGATAAAAAGAGGTTCAGAGAGAAAAAAAAAGAAAAAAGAAAAATGAAACAAATAAAAAAAAGAAAACCAATAATGAAAAAATATAAAAAGGAAAAAAATATGTATATATATTAGATAAACTAGTTAAAAAACGTTAAAAAAGAAAAGGGTTAAAGTTAAAAAAATTTAGCAGAAGAAGAGAAAAAAAAATGAAAAAGAAAAAAATTAACTGCAAGGCTAAAGTATTATGGGGAGTAAGCCATGAGTTCCGTGCTTTGCTTTCTCCTCCTCTGGAATTCCGCTGCTCTCCTTGGTATGGAAACTGCACTCCTCGTAAGTGAACTTGGTCCTGGCTGGGTTTCTTGTTGATCTTCTGGGGGAGGGGCCTGTTGTAGTGATTCTCAAGTGTCTTTGCCCCAGGCAGAGTGCACCGCCCTTACCAGGGGCCGGGCTGAGTAATCCCCTGGGGTTTGCTTTCGGGAGCTTTTGTTCCTTGAGCGCTTTCTGTAGAGTTCCGGAGGACAGGAATGAAGATGGCGGCCTCCCAGTCTCTGGCCCAGAGGAGCCGAGAGCCCGGACCCCCACTCCTCAGTGCGCCCTCAGAGAACAGCGCCCAATTACTCCTTTCACCCTGGCCTCCGGCCGCGCTCCCAGCTGACCGAGCCTGCGATCGGTTCAAGGTAATCCCGAGCCGAGAGTCATTCCTCGGCTCTGTCTCTGTAGCCGGCTTCTCTGTTCTAATACCTGCAAGCTCTGTGACACTCAGACACCCCCGATCCTTCTGTGACCCTGCGGGTCCTGAGGCCACACTGACCCTGCATGGGCTTCACCCCGGTCAAGCCGCTGGAGTGATGTCCCTCAGCGGAACAGACTTTTTTTTTTTAAGATTTTATTTATTCACCCGACAGACAGAGATCACAAGTAGGCAGAGAGGCAGGCAGAGAGAGAGAGGGAAGCAGGCTCCCTGCTGAGCAGAGAGCCCCATGCGGGACTCGATCCCAGGACCCTGAAATCATGACCCGAGCCGAAGGCAGCAGCCCAACCCACTGAGCCACCCAAGCGCCCCCGGAACAGACTTTTAAAAGTCCTGATTTTGTGCTCCGTTGCTCCACCGCTTGCCGGGAGCTGGCCCCTCCCCCCGCGGTCTATCTTCCGTCACTTTGGATTCACTTCTCCGCCAGTCCTACCTTTCAGAAAGTGGTTGATTTTCTGTTTCTAGAATTGCTGTTCTTCTTCTCTTCGATCTCCCATTGGATTTGTAGGTGTTTGCAATCTTTAGATAAGCTATCTAGCTGATCTCCTGCTACCTGAAGTAGTCTCAGCCTGCTACTTCTCTGCCATCTTGACTCCTCCCCCCCTGTTTCCATAATTTTTATTTGTGCCAGCCAAAACACTCAATATGTACCAGATGGCATTATTTGTGAGTTTTATTCCTAGGTTCTCAAGTGTTTACTTTTAGAAGATCTTCTTAGAGAGTAAGATCACTCTCCAGGCTTTGGCATATACTTTATATAAATATAAGAGTTTACACTAATGATAATCTTCCTTGCACACCTATATTCATAATTCTTCATGAATTTTCTAGAAAAGGAAATGGAAACTAGACTTTCTTGAACCTTTTACGTATATCCAGTATGGTACTAAGCCCTTTCACGTTCTCTTATTGGCCTCCATAATATCCCATTAATTTTATAAGAACAAAAAATGTGCATTTGTCTGAAGATACAAGTTTAAGACCAAGTATCATGAGCATACATTCTTTTGGGATAAGTGAGAGGTCAAAATTTCAAATGTTATGGACTCAACCAACCTGAAAAACTTGGTGAACAGATGAAATTTCCTATTGTGTTTACTTTTGTGTCAGGAACGGATCCCAGAGAGTCCTTCTCCTGCCCCCTCTCTGGAAGAGAATCATCATCCTGACAGTCAGATTTCCTCCCACCCCAGCAGCAGTGTGTCCAGCTCTCCCTCTCAGATGGATCACCATTCAGAGAGAATGGGTAAGTATCTTATCTAAAACAAGGAATTAAAAGACATTCTTTTGGGAATTTCTTCATTAGTCAATAGAAGTGGGAGAAAGAAGGTGGAGGAGTTGATGCCTCCTTAATAAAAATGACTTTTTAAAGTGGTCTTTTTTTTTTTTATTGCTGAAGCAATATGAACAGCAAATGAAACTTTAAGTGTTAAAAGTTTCTTCTCTGGAAGGGTTTTCATTCACCATGTCACTGGATTCCTTGAGAACAGTATGATGGGATCTTTGAAGAGTTTATGTTAGTTCAACATATTGGTATTTAAGAGTTCATGTGATATAATACATATTCTATATTCACAGCATCTTTGAGTAATGAAAGTTAAAATATCTTTTAAACAGTTGATCATTTAAGAGTGATTGAAAAGTAAATCAAGACACAATTTCCTGGGACACCTGGGTGGCTCAGTGGGTTAAGCCTCTGCCTTTGGCTCAGGTCATGATCTCAGGGTCCTGAGATTGAGCCCTGCATTGGGCTCTCTGCTCAGCAGGGAGCCTGCTTCTCCCTCTCTCTCTGCCTGTCTCTCTGCCTACTTGTGATTGCTCTCTGTCAAATAAAAAAAATCTTAAAAATAAAGATACAATTTGCCACAATCTCAATAACTTAGGTAAAAATATTTAACATGTTTTTCCTTTTTTTATTATCTTGGAAGTCTTACACCATAGACACTATCCCAGAAATACTAAAACAGTATTGTCAGTGATGTAGTATGTTGGAGAGTTGAATCTAGCCATAGTTCTGGAACTGAGTAGCTATGAGACCTTGGGTATGTCACTTAATCATCATGAGTTTCTTTACCTTATATATGGAAATAATTACTGCCATGCCTAATGCACTGATTTTTGTGAGATCAAATGAAGTAATTAGTGGAAAAACTCTTGAGAAGTTTAAAGTACTCAGGAAGTGTGAAGGATGACCACTATTTTGTCTGTGTAGATTTACCTTGATTGTTTATCATCCCTTGATGCCTGATTTTCCTTAGGTATACAGGTATTATCAAGTGCATTCAGTTGTAACAATTCTCGTTTTGTATATAATAATTATGAACCAAATGAGACAGGTAAAATATTTATTAATCTTTTGTACCTACACAATCCAATTTCCTAAATATCCATTTCCTTTAGGAAAAAAATATTTCTTTTTTTTAAGATTCAATTTGTTTATTTGAGAGAGAGAGAGAGAGAGTGAAAGAGAGCATGAGAGGGGAAAAGATCAGAGGGAGAAGCAGACTCCCCATGGAGCTGGGAGCCCAGGGAAGGACTTGATCCTGGGACTCTGGGATCATGACCTGAGGTGAAGGCATTAGCTTAACCAACTGAGCCACCCAGAAATCCAGGAAAAATGATTTCCCTTCCTGTTTTAATCTTACTCTGTAAAGACATTCTTTATATTAAATCTATGTTTTTATAGTTCATAATAGCGATTGCTTTAAGCCATTCCAAAATTATGTTTTTTATTTGTTTGTTTGTTTGTTTGTTTGTGGGTAGGACAGGAATTTGAGGGATTAGCAGAGGTGTTAGATTCTGAATTTGTGCTGGGGAATGGTGAAGTTTATTTCTGCCTTTTAGAAATTTATCCAAGTTTCATTTAGCCTGTGAATATTATATATTGTTTGTGGCTCATAGTAAGCCCAAAGAGTCTCAAATCTGGCTTCCCAGTATAATCACTTGTGGATCATTTACAAATTTGGATGCCTAGGTTACATGCTCAGAGTCTGATTTACCTAGTCTGGAATAGAGCCTGGCAGCACTGTTTTGTTTTGATTTTCAGTGTCTCCTCACGAGATTCTAACCTGCAGCCAGAGTTAAGAACCACTGAGCTAGAACTTGAGGTTAGTGGCTCTAAGGGAGTAAGTTTAATTACTCTAAGGGAGTAAGAGGTGATGGTTTTCTAGCTTTACTTTATTATGACTTTTGGACACAGATTACCTGGTTGTAACAAAACTGTGTGCAACTGATTTAAGGGAGTCTGAGCAAGACAAGAAGATATAGCCAGATGACCACTAATGAATCAAATAACAAAACCACTCATTATTCTGTCAGGATAATCTTTGTACTGATGAGGGGTTGGGGAGAGAGATGAGAGAGAGAATTATTTATTAGGGGCTGGCTAAGAGCACAACACATAAGGAAATATGCTATATGATAGATATACTGAAAGGGAATGGTATCTTACACTTAGAAGTAAAATCAAATACTTCTAAAGCAATGTAATATCCTAAAAAATATATTAACCACATAAAACATTTCTAATTCCACTGGCAGTAATTAGGCTGTCTATGCACATTCCCAGGTGTCTGAGCATAATAGTGAAATTGTCTATAAATGAAAAAAATGTTTGAGGATTTTTGGGTTAAAATGACCATATTATATTTATAGAGCACTACAATTATTTTAAGATTTTATGTATTTATTGGAGGGTGAGAGACAGAGATTGAGAGAGCACAAGCATGGAGAAGAGGGAGAAGAAGGCTCCCCACTGAGTAGGGAGACTTACATGGGGTTCTATCTCAGGACCCTGGGATCAAGACCTGAGCCAAAGGCAGATGCTTAACCAAGTGAGCCTAGCAATATAATTTTAATAAAATATAACAAAAGAGAATTAAATGATAAACTATGAAAATTGGCATGTTTTTCCTCTTTCAATATAAATGTTTTCTGAAGAAGCCTTTATATAATTAATTACCAGAAAGTTATCCTTTACCTATTAATTTTGCTCTATGTGTTTATAAAAAATGATATAAAATGAGTTAAATCTGTAATTATTTTAACTCATTAAATTAAGTGATAAATTCTTTCTAGAAACATTTTGGGAACTAGATTATAATTATGCAGGTAAATAGCTAATTTGCATATGAATTTTAGAAAAGCAAATATTTAAAATGATTTAAAGAAAATATGTGGGCAATTACATATGCACTGTATATTAACTCCACTTTAAAAATTCACATGACTGAGACACCTGGGCGACTCAGTTTGTTAAGCATCCACTTTTAGCTCAGGTCATGATCTCTGGGTCCTGGGATGGAGACCTGCATCAAGCTCTCTGCTCAGCAGAGTCTGCTTCTCTCTCTCCCTCTGTCTGCCTCTCTGTCTACTCATGCTCTCTCTCTCTCTCTAGCAAATAAATAAATAAAATATTTAAAAAAATAAAAATTCACATGATTGAGCAGCTTCTTGGTTTTTAAATTACATAATCATCAAATCAACATAAATGATTCCACTGTTTCAGAAATGGAGATGTATACAATTCATGTTAGTTGTTATTGGAGTAAGAGATCTATTTATATAATATTTTCTACCTTTCTTTTGGGTATTTTGCAAGGAAGTTACTCAGTTTTATGTTTCATTTACAGCTATGATGACCAACAATAGAGAGGAACTTATTGTTGATCAGGATAATGGACCAACCATCAAAAAATTCCAAAGGGATAATAAAGGTAATATGATTTTTGCTTATTTGATGGACATATAAATATTAGATAGGAACTGAATTAACATTCCAGTGCTGTATATTGCATCTACATTTCCTAAACAGAATATATTTATACTGGCTTCAGATAAATTCTTTTAGTAGTAAAAAAATATGTTTGCCTGTAGCTTGCTTATTTAATATTAATAAATTACATATCAGCCTGAAGTTTTTCTGTGCTAGTGATTGGAAACTTCACTTTAAGGCCCTTTATAATGCCTGATCAGAAACATCTGACTGGTAAGTTATTATGTATGCACTTTGTTAACTAAGTTTAAATGACTCACCATTTGATAGTTACATGTGAAAAAACAAGTTGTTGTCATGGAGAAAAGATGTTCCCCCAACAATCAAAAGAGATTTTTAAAATATATGCTTATCTGGACATTTCAAAGGAAAGCTTAGCAAGTTACTCCAACCAAGTATTTACCTGAGTGTTGATAGATATGATACCATTCTAGCTTTTGATCCACTGAGGTACATGTATCATTTCTGCACAGTGTTCAGTTTTTTCTTAGAATATCAGTTTAAAGAAGGTAGGGAGAATAAGAATTTCAAAGTCATGCTATCTTGATCTAAAAACTGAGTATATTTTTGTTTTTGTTTAAAAGGCTAAAGGATAAAATAAAAAGAAAACATACTGGCATATGTTATAGGCTATACATTATGTCTGTCATTGTGAATTAAATAGTAACTCTAAGCTAAAAAGCATAAGCTAACATGTAATTTATCAGATCACCAAATGGCCTGTTTGTACTTCAGCATAGGGTATATTTTTCTATTTCTACTAGTCACAATATACAGAAAAAAAGACTTCATGACCTGAAGAGTTAATGGAGAAATTTTTCTTTCTTCTGTAGACTGAACTTCTTCCTAATTACATAGATGAGAATTTTAGTTAGAATTTGGAATAATGTATGATTTTAATTTCGTTGATCCATGGTTGGTTTCCTTGCCACATGTTTAGTCATTTCTTATCCAAATGCTAAAAGGCTATACCCTCTGGGGCTCCAAGATGTAAATGATTTCTTTAAGAACACTTGCCAGTTTTAATATATTAAAATACCCTAGCTCTTATACAGGTAATGGAATTCTAGTTGAAGTTGAAATTTCAACCCAGCAACAACTTGTTCCTGAGACCTCTTTACTACGAAGTCATGACTATTTGAAGGACAGTGTGGTAGTAAAACAGTTTTTCTAGGAAAATCTCCAGCTGCACATGATATATGTGATTCTATTAGAACTGCAAAACCCATAAGTCAAGATGGCATTTAGGGCTGGCCTGTGTGCTGCAGTGCTCAAGTACACAGTACTGTGTCTTATGAAAAATAAGCTGGTTGGGGCACCTGGGTGGCTCAGTGGGTTAAGCCTCTGCCTTTGGCTCAGGTCATGACCTCAGGGTCCTGGGATCAAGCCCTCCATCAGGATCTCTGCTCAGAGGGAGCCTGCTTCTCCCCCTCTCTCTATGCTTACTTGCAATCTCTATCTGTCAAATAAAT